AATACACATAATTCACAGATGTCTCGCCGCTTGTTCTGGCTATTAAATCCATGTTGAACCTGCTCGCAGGCCGCATAATTATGAATATATATATATATATATATATATAGAAAGAGAGAGAGAGAGAGAGGGACGGAGATACATTTCACTAAAGTAGTTGCTTTCTTTTACTTTTTTCTTTTTTTGTGACTTATTAAAATTTATAAGCATTGAGTATTTTTTATGTTTGTGATTCATTATGCCTTGCATTTTATGGCCAGAGCTCTGCTAACAATGTATCTAGTTGAATTTTTATGCTGTAGTTTTAGCATATGCCTATCAAAATTGATGGCATACTGTTTGGCTGTGCTCTGCGGTTTTATGCGCACTAAAATCTCGAATGTATCTATTTCACAGATAATACTGCTTTTTTTATGATTTTATCAATGTGGTTGCAAAACACAACACAGAAGAAAAAACTTGAATTTCTTGTCTAATAATGTCATAAATAATACTGTTAATAATATTTTGGTATTAATTAAAATTCTTTGCGTTAATATGATTGCAAAATATATACATATAATTATATTATGTATGTATCGAAATCATTAAATAATATCTAATAAATACTTAAATATATTATCATTGCTTCAAGTTCTAAAATGCTTTGCCGAGAGAAAATATAAAATTAGAAACAAAAAAACTTTGGTATATTATATTAACCTATAAATTATGAAAATTTGTACCTTATCTAATATGCCCGAAAACCTACACGAAATTTTGGCAAAGTGAATATAAACGAATGTTCATTACTTCAACTGGGAAGGCAGTTCCATTATGAATTTTCGAAAAGCTTAGGAAAACTAATGAAAATCCAAAGCTGCGCTGGCAACTTCTTTGAAGCAGGCAAAATCCAAAGAGAATTTTCTATTAACGCACGTATGCACAAGATGTGCGTGGCCACGGGAAAGGGGCGGGGCTGGCATATATACGAGTGGAACAGCTGTTCCACACATAGTCAAGTTAGTTTCAAGTATTGCAATAAAAAGAAAATGGCCAGCAGTAAGTTTGGGGTAGGTGAAAAGCTAAGAGCAACTGACTGACAAAACCTCAACATGCCACTAAAAGCATAATCATGCACTTAACTAAAGCCAGCATGAAACTTACAGCTGTAGGTGTAGTCAAAGGTGTCTGCGTGTGCGTGCGTGTGTATGTGTATGTGTGTGCACGTGTGTGTGTGTGTGTGTGTGTGTGTGGCAGGGGTGTAGCTTTAGTCTGCTGGCAGCGCAGGTGTAAGTTGAGTTCTTGTAACGCACGTAGAACTTAAGTCATCATCATACAAATAAAAATTTATGACTTTAAATGCGAGTGTGTGTCTGTGTGTGTGGTGTGTGTGGGAAAATTTTGTGGTTCTGTGTGTGCACGTGTGTGTGTAGGTTTTGGCTTGGCTTGGCTTGGCTTTGCTCTGTTTGTCCAAATACCACCTGATTTGCACTTGCATCGGTTTGTAGTTTGTTGGTTGCCGCTTGTACTTATTTGACTCGTTATATACCCTGCCAAAAGTTATTATGAATTTGGGAATGTGGAACGCATAGCACCTGGTTCCTGCTAAGCGTTATACTTACATTCACAAATTCATAATATCCTAGTAAGCCGCATCAGTAGCTTAGTCGATAAAGTCAGATCAGTCTTTCATATAACCATTATAGGGGCTATCTGTCCAACAATTCTTTGATCTTCAAAGATATCTTAATTATAATCAGAAAGTATTTGCTTTCCTATGAGCAAAATCTCATATAGCTCCTATACGAACAATTGACTAAAAATTTACTAGCAATTATTAAATTTTGAAAAATATCAAATCGAAATACAAAACTCACCTATTAAGAGCTTTGGTTTGTTTCCAATTTCTCAGTAGGAATCGATCATTGAACATTGAAACATTTAATTAATATATAAAAACAGCATTGTGTGTCTGCAAGGGTATTGTTCGGTATGTTCGGCAATGCAAAGAACAGTTTCATTTGATTGCTTTCTTTGTGCGGTTTGCAAAAGTTGACTTTGAGGACAGGCCGTCACAGTTGAATGAAACAAGTAGGCCTTACTTGTACCTGAGCTTGTCATAATTAGTTTATAAATTATTAAGCAACAAGCTGGCATAATATTTTTCCAAACTCTCTAAAATTAAAAATATAACAATAATGAATATTATTAAATAATAACAATTAGAACAATAAAATTAATATCAATTATATTAAAACAATAAAAAATAATAATTTAAAAAAAAACAATGAAATTAATAACAACGAAAATAATAAAAAAAATAAATATTATAAAATTTAAATAATAATAATGAACTGAAAAATATATTATAAAGAAAGATGTAATGCATCTTTACATTATAGAAAATAAAAATAATTTATTGTATTAGTAATAAAATACAATTCAAAAAACATGAATATTATTAAAATTTAAATAATAATGAACTGAAAAATATATTATAAAGAAAAGAATATTAATAAAAAACAAATGTACAATGTATAAATTAATATACATATAATAAAAAAGTTCCGACATTTTTAATTAATTTTTTTTTAATTCCAGCTGAAATCAGTGGCTTCTATTAACCGCATATTTATTTGAATATTCATGGCATTAAAATGTGTAGCACGTGGCCAATTGAATGAGTAGTTCACCCAGAGGGATACTCATTACCAATCGCAATATTCATGAGCTTCGCTGCCTGAAGTTAACTTTAGCGTGGATTCCTTCAGTAATTCGCGTCTGCTTAAATGGAAAGCGGTGCGGAAAAAATGAGGGGAAGAAGAAAAAAACTACAACACAAAGCCGCTTGCGAGCTACTTTTCAAGTTAAAGTTATTATCCTGGGGCAGGCAGGCGGGCGGACGGGCGGGCGGGCTCTGCAGCAGCCACTTGCAGACTTGCCAGACTTTTGAATAAATTTTCAATCTGCCGTCTGACAACGAGGACAACGAGGACAACAACGACAATCAGCATTATAAATATGTAGCTACATCAACTTAACTTGATGTGTGCCTCATTGTTGTAGTTGTAGCTGTTGTTGCTGGGCGTCAGTTTGTCGCTAAGTGAAAAGCCAAGCCAAGTTGCTTGAACATTTTTAAAAGCCGCTTTACTTTTGTAAATAGTCAACTTTCGCTTGGGCGCAAACTTTTCGGCAACACTACAGCAAGAAGAAAAAGACGGAAACTCTGCATAGAAAGACGAACATTTTGCCCAACTGCATTCTTGTTATCTGTTTTTCTTCTTTTTTCGTTAAATGCTTTTAGCCGCTTTGCCAGTAACTTGGCTGATACGCTTGAAGCGCTCACTGATACTTTCCTGTTCTTTTCTGTATGCTTTTCCTTTTGTAGATATAAATGGCATAAGTAATGCAAATAATTAAGCACTAAACAGCTGATAACAAATCATCAATTAAATAGAACCAATTAAATCTAATGCGCTGGCCTCCAACAAAAATAATCAAAAGAAAGGAAGAGAGGAAAAATGTTTTTGAAATGAAAGAAAAGTGCGCTAATCAGGAAAATGCGCTCGAGAAAATGTGCGACAAAAGAAGTGGCCGAAAAACAAAGTGTCCGCAATTTCTCTTTGTGGTCAACCGCCATTAACGTTTATTACGCCCGCAAATCGCCAACAATGAAGCCGCAACACAAAAAGCAAAGAGCAATACACACGAAAAAAAAAACAGAACAACAAAGAAAAGAAATAAAATAAAAACAAAAAAAATAAATAAAAAAATATAATTAAAAATAAACATTACGCAGACAATAAAAAGAAGAGACAAAAAATAAATAAATAAAGGAGCGAGAAGGAAAAATGTGTAATAAAAGGTGCAAATTGCATTGCAGAGGACAACCAGACGCCTGAGCCTGAGCCTGTGCGTGGTCCTTGCTGCCACCAGCACATCCTGCCTGTCCGGCTGAAGCGTTTTAGGCGCCTAATTGAGCGTTTTAGTTATGCTAATTGTAGGGGACGACTCCCCCGGCCAAGCATCCCATCCCCACAGCTATGGCCAGCAGCTCATCTTTATTGTTGTCATTTCTTATTTCGCATCTCGAGTCCGGCACAGGCATGAGATCATTAATGCGCTGCCATTTGGGGCGTGAGTTCTGAGTTCTTGGAATGTACATAATTAATTGTGTAATTAAATGGAGCAGCAGTATAGGGACACATAAGCACTGGATAAATAAATAAAAATTGTTACAAAAACACAAATCTTTCTTAGGCTTACAGTAGACTATCTTTTTAGAAAATGCATGAGTAATTTTTAAAGCGCACTGCAAATGATAGATACGTCCATTAAATGTAAACTTTAAATGATCTTCCTAAAAGAATATTAATATAAAGCTTTTAAAAAGATAATAGTCAAATGAAGTGCACTAAAGTATTATACAAAAAAATTACATAAAAAAAGAAGAGCCATTAACTATAAACATTTTTAACATTCTTAATGAAATATTTAAAAAAAAAATGCACTTTTAAAAATAATAAACATACAATTTGTAATATAGAAGATGAGCTCACATATTTGAACATAAAAATCATAACATATTTTTAAAATATTTTTTTTGACATCAAAAAAATTATTTAGAACAATTTACAAAAAAGTTTTCATTTCGAAAAATTTAATATAATAAAAACAATATTAAACAAATGTATTTAATAAAACAAACAACATTTATGTGGAGATGTCTAGCTATAATAATTAACATTATGCATTGAAACAAATTCAGCATTGCATTTAAGAACCTTTACTTTACTTTACTTTACTTACTTTAGGACCATCTTCATGCAAATAGATTACACATTTTTAAAAATTGTCTTTTTTTTGTCGCTCGTTTTATTTTTGATTATCTACCGTAAATACTTATCAATTATACAATTTACGTTTTCCTTTTTTTTTTTGGTTTTGTTTTTATAATATATACAATTATATATATATATGTATGTATATATATGATTTACATACATAGGCGTATTAATATACTTATAAATTAATTGCTCTTCTTTCTTTTTTACTCCTTTTGGGTTTGTGTGTATGCGTGTCTGTGTGTTGAAATTACAATTAGGCATAATACATATACGATTATATGTATGAATGTATATAACTTTATATGGTACATATAAATATCCATCATTTATATACGCATATATAAATAATTTTTGACTTTCGTTATACAAATATATATATGTATATATATATATATGTATTTAATGGTAGAGAAATAAAGTGAAAAGCTTAGCACAACATTTTCTTCAACTCTTTATCGTTTATGTTTCATAGTGTATAAATCAGAAAAAGAACCAGCTCGCAAGTGGTTCCGTTTAGGTAGGCAAGTAACAGGGTATTGGCTCGGCTTGGCAAAGAAAATAATCAGTTTTCCTATCGATAAATGTTTGTTTTCTTTTTGTTAGGTTTTGTGAGGAAAATGAATAAAAATGTAGCTGCACAATTTTTTCTGTTAGTGTTAAATGCCTTTGAAGTTACTTTGAGCTAGCTGAAACTGGTGTCTGTGTATTTAGGTGTAAATATTTTAGATACATTTAGCAGTTACTTGCTGTTGCCTAGGGCTGAAGCCTACTTTGCTGCCTGCCTCTGCTGCTGCTGCTGCTGCTGCCGCTGGTGCATCTCCGCCCGCTGCCTTTTGACCCTCCCTGAAGTGTGGCACAAGAGTTGCGTGACAATTGAATCATGTTAATTGCCTGCTGCATATGCTGCATCCTTTGCTAATGCTGCTGCCGCTGTGCGCCCGCAGGCGTTGCCTCTGCTCCGGCTCGTCCACCTGCTGCTGCTGCGGCTGCTGCTGCTGCTGCGTTTTGTATATGCCCTCCCGCATGGGCCTGTGCTTTGTAATCTCCAACAGCTGCGACACTAATTGCCCGGCCAGCGACCAGCTGAGCAGCGCCAACAGCGTTCCAGTTGCAGTTGCAGCATTCACAGCCACAGCTCGAAGACTGGCCGCCGACGAGCTGACACCGCGCCAGGCCGCGCCGCCATCCTCTAAACCATCGGCGACATCGTCTTCTTCGCCTGAGGGTACAAAATGAAAGAGAAAGTCTAGCGAGAAATAGAAAAATGCAGGCGATGTACTCTTTCGTTGTTGCTGTTGTTGTTGTTGTATCTGTTTGTGATGTTGTTGTTGTCTTTTGTCTCTATGGAGACGTTTATGGGTATGTGCACACTAATTGGCTGCCAAAACAACTTACCCTGCAGCTGTGTTAGGTAGCTGTTCTTCTTGCTGTGAAATTGTTCATCCTCGTGCAGCGTGTACTGGTCATATATCTCATCGGCACTCACGCGATTCCCGCTGGCCCCATTGCCGCCATATTTGCCAAACGGATCCGCCTCCAATATGTTCTTCTCCGTCGTCTTCCAGTACACATCATGCAGCTGAGCACTGCAGCGGAGCTGTACAACAAAGCAATTACTCATTAAATCAGTTTTGCAGAGGCTATTATGGGTAGCATATATATATATATCTATAAACTATATGTCACCTTTAGTTTGCCATTATCGAAGTGCTGATCGGTAACCACGAAATGAATGCCCACAATTGCAGTTTCCATATCGTTGCGCGCATCCCGCAATATTTTATGATGTCGCACATGTGAGGGATTTACCTGGAAGATATATAATAAAATGTATTAAGTAATATTACAAAATAAATTTATAAAAAACTCTATCTTTAATAATACGCAAAGTGCCCTTTTTTTTTGTAACAGGCCACAGGCCACAGTGAATATTTGTATTAATAATAATGTAATTTTCATCTTCTGTACCCTTTCGCTATTGAAAAAGTGAAACAAAATGTTGAACTACATATGAGTAACAAAGAGAAAGCTTGCTCTCCAATTTTATAATAATGTTTGATCAGCCATGTCCATCAAATATAACTGCTATTGATGTAAATTTACAGCATATGTTGTCAAATAATTTTTTTTTTTTTTTATTATTTGGTAGAATTTCCCTGTTACCAAATTTAAATATTAATCAAAATCTTGCTTGGCCGAGCAACCTCTAGGAAGTACATATTAAACTTAAGTACATATAAAACTTAATCATACGCCCAACCTCAGTTGAGCTCCTTGCAAAGCAAAGATCCTATTTTTTTCTTAAACAGTTTACCTAATGTTTAATTTGGCATAAAGTTCTGCTACAAGGCGTAACGGATGGAAAATCATATAATAAACGCAGCCAGCTAAATAATTAGCTTACCCAAGCACACACACACGCACACACAGAGAGAGTGCGAGAGAGAGGAAGGGAGAGAGAGAGACACACACGGCTACTCACACGCTCACACGTCGACGGCTGGGGCAATTTGAGCTTCAGTCCATGGCAAACAATGCTCATTGATGGCGCATAATAGCGGAAACAACAACAACTACAACCAAGACAACAACAAAGGACGGAAACGTTAGCAGCTAAACAAAGCACTTTCAGACACACTTACACACACACACACTCACATACACACACACATACACACACAGACGCATACATTGGCAAACCGCAATTGCGCGCTGGCAGCTGAAAAGGCGCCACGTGCAATTCGTGGGTCAGGATTGAGTTGCTTTGCATTGCATGTATTTTGGGGTTCGCCGTCGTCGATTGATTGCAAATGCAGAGCTACCCACAGCCTCCCACTGTCTGTGCTGTGCTCCAAGCCCTCAGCACTGTAACGCTGGAAATGTGCTTAAGCAATAAAGCCACAAACAATTAAATACAAAATGGAGTTAAAATATCGATGCACTGCAAGAAAATGTACGCAAATAATATATTTAGAATGATTAATCGTCTATAATATATTACAGATCAGTTTTACAGTCGAAATATTTTAGCTCCTCAATTTTTAGTGTCTGAGTCTTAAAAGTGTCTTATTTTCCTAATAATTGCTCAAAAGAATTTTTTCATTTTCTGCTTTACGGTCGCACAGTATATTCCTTTATCATAGAATTCTCACTGAGTTTATTAGAAGTTTTAATCAATAAAAAAAAACAAAACGAATATAAAAAAAATCAAATTCATGGGTAATTTAGTTGATACTAAACAGATCTCTAACACTATTTTGTTAAACAATTCTTCAGGGTATTTAGTCTTCGGTACTGGGAAACTAGCTAAGCCTCCCTGTTTTCAGCACAGCTTTGAATTCCACTAAGATGATGCAATTATTTTGGGAGTATGTTAGGAACTATATTGCAGTTACATTGTAGAATAAATGGAACAGAGTCCTTGTAAAATAATTTGTGTTAGCTATTTAAATTACAAGTTACGAAGTAGCCGAAGCAAATAAAATCTTAGTTAAAACACCAGAAACAAGACTTAGTTGCTGGGATACCAATATCTAAAATAAAGGGAGCTATGGTATTTAAAAGTGTGCCAAATTATATACATCTTTTTTAATAGAAAGACAGCAGATAGAAAGAATCACGTTGTACAAGAGCAAACCATTGCTAGGAGAGATTTGAAATAAAGTGAAGTAAAAACTTAAGTTTTAGCATTAGTAAAGAAATAAATTCTTCTCTTGGAGTATTGCTTCAGCAACGCATTTTGAATTTTAATTCCATGTTCATTACCTCTTCAACAGTTTTAGATCTGACTAGAAATATTTTGATACAATAGAAATATATTTCACAGTTCCAGAGCTATTATTATCAAACAAAAATCGAAGTACAAAAGTATATCTAGAAATTAATATATGCCCAATTTTATATATTTATACTCATGCAGAGGGTATTATAATTTTGTCTTAAAATAAATAGAAGGAGACATCACCGACCCCTTAAAGTATATATATTCTTGATCTGTCCGTCTGTCTGTTTCTATGCGAACTAGTCTCTCAGTTTTAAAGCTATCTATATGAAACTTTGCAGAAGTGCAGAGTATGTCGGAACCAACTGGATCGGACTACTATATCATATAGCTGCCATAGAACGATCGGTCGAAAAGCAGGTTCTTACATGAAATACTTTTTTGTTTATCAAGATATCTTGACCAAACTCGGCATTTATTAATGTCACTATGCTCCTCATATATATGCAAAATCCTAACAATATCGGACCACTATATCATATAGCTGCCATAGGAACGTTCGGTCGAAAATTAAGTTGTAAGAAAAACTTTTTGGTTTTCAAGATATCTTAACCATACTCGACATTATCTATTTTCCCTGCTCTTCTTAGATACAGGCAAAGCAAGGGTATTATATATTCGGCGTGCCGAAGATAGCCCTTCTCTCTCGTTTTCATTTACTGTTTACATTGTAAATACGCCAATTACAACAACAGTTTCAGGAGTTGGGGCTTTGATTTATGTTAAACATTTTCTTTGGCTCATTTCATCTTTCAACCACAAATACCGGAATTCGCCCAACAAATCAGCTCAAGTTTCATCCCACTTTCTACTTCATATAGTACTATTTTACCAAACATTCACTGTTCATTATGCGCAGCGCAGACATTCAACTTATTTAAATGAGCTACGAAAAACAAGTGCGTTGCAGACTGAAAAATGACATTGCATACATTTTGGCGCACAATTGGCAAATTAGTCGGAGCCAAACCGTAAAACCAAACAAAAAGCCAAACCGTGAGACACGCCCCAGTGCATTGGTCGCTTGTTTTGGTGGGCGTAACTAAAAATGGAAACTGTGAAAATTTCGTTTGGCAACTGAAGAGTTTTCCAATGTCGTTTCGCCGCATTTTAATGTCCGGCGCGCGCGCGTGCATAAAACTGCGCTAAATTATTAGAGCCCAAAAAATAGGGCGTAATGGATGGGGCGTGGCATAACAGATGCTGATCGGAGCCAGTGTGTGTGTTGCCTGGTAATTACAAAGCTCGTTCGACACATGCACACACACACACACACAGGCACGCAGACACACGCATAAATTACACACAGGCATGCCCCGCTTAAAAACAAGAAAATTGTGTTTGCATAATTTGCGACTCACCTCTTCATTATTCACCGTCCATGTGAGATTGGCCGCCGGCCGGGAATGTCGCGATGTGCAATTGCCCCGCAATATGTCGCCGACCCGATATCTGGGCCGGATTCCGGTTATGAATGGTGCATTGTGCGGCGTCTCTGTAAATGCAATGGCAGAGTGAGAGAGATAGAGAGAGGGAAAAAGAAAGAGAGAGAGATGACTGTAAGTTTGGCAGTTTGTTCCTATCCCCCCCACACACAGGTGCTCTGGACAGTGGCCTGCATTTTGGCCATCGACTGTCACTATAGTTTCCATGTAGTAGCCCACCAAGCATTGTCCGAATGCCCAGAGCTCTTGCATGTCTGGCTATTTGGAGGCTGGAGGCCTCCAGCTCCCATTTCGTTGCTGTTTTTATTTTGTTGTCGTTGTTGTTGTTGTCTGCGTATTCATGTCGACATTTCGACATTTTGCGTAATGACAGTCGAGGTCTGATCCGTGCGGTTTCGCAGTCTATAATTGAAATGCTTTTGTAAACCTACGCATAGCACAGCGCTGTGCTGCAGTTATGATTGAGCCGCGAATTTTGGTTGTGAAAATGACAGAAATCGTTCGTTGTTAACTGGCGTTGGACGTTGAAAACATGAAAACATTTTGAATTGCTTTGAACTGGCTAGCCGGATCAAATTGTTATTAACCTTAAAGTTACTTACACTTCAAGTTACACTGGACTATAGTTATGAGATTGACATGGTTTCAGTTTTGAACTGAGAAGTGCTGGAACTGGTTCCAGACATGGTCTAAAATGTCTTCATTGGATTAATAGTAGTCTTTTAACGTGTAAACAAGGTTTGAACCTGTTTATTTATCAATTTCAACTAGTTTTGAGACACAATTGAGTCAGTTTTAAACATGATCGAGACCTGCTAAGGTTTTAATCCGCTTTGAACCAGTGTTGAATTGGGTTTGAACCAACTATTATGAAAGCTTGAACTATTCTTTAATGCCAAAAGCATACTTCGACCCAGTTTAATCAGTTATTAACTAGTGTTGAACTAGTTTCAAGTTTTATTTACATCGAGGTTTATTGCCCATGCACTAGCTATTATTTGGGCGTGACAGTCACACAATAAACTTTAAATAGCTTTGACATTTGAAACCTGGCGTCAACCAGACTCGAGCTAACAGTCAACTGCTTGAGCAATAAAATTTTGCTTAATATTTGTATGTGTGCAAGTAGCATAAGTATTTTAAGCAAGTACAATAGAGCTTGTGGTTCAATAAATCGACGAATTCAATGCAGACGCAACTGAAAATAACTTAAAATAAGTATTTTCGATTCTCCCAACCCATTCATGCCACAAGTCAGAGCTAAGCATAAACTTGCAGCAAGTCAAACACGAGAACTACGAGAGGCAACTACTGTCTAATTCCATGCATGGCTGTCATATGTGAACAGGACATGCCCAGACCGAGTTCAATTGGGCAGGCCAGGAGACAGACCCAGACTTGAGCCGATGTCAAGAGTCGAGAGATTGGGGACCAGGCGAATGCCAGACACCAGAGCTCACGCCAAATGTGGGCGTTGTGGCTGGGCGTTACTTCAAAATAAACTTCTAGTTCGAATTTACGGTATTCGAGCAGACAAAATACAAACAAATTTGCTGGCTCCAGATAAAGATGACGATATTTAAGCAGCCAAACAAAAAAATAAAATAAAATGCACTGGCAAAACGTTTGAGATGGTCAATAAACTTTTGGCTTCAAGTGTGAGCGAGTGTGTGTGTGTGTGGGTGTGTTTGTGTGTGTGCGGATGATTGGTTTACGGACTTTGCCAAAGTGAGGGCAACACAAATTGACCGCTCGCCCGTCTCAGCAAACTCTGGTCTCGTGTCTATTTCATGTTTATATGACCATATGTGTGCCTTTCTGATATGTTTGTG